GGGTTGGGAACTTCCCTGAGTCTGGGGATCTGACCAAGAATCTAAGCATAGAGATTAATAACCGAACACCTGGGAGCAGAAGGCAAGTCAGGGTGGGGAGGGGAGAGAATCAGCTCCCTCCCTCTCTCTAGTTGCTGCTGCGTGGGAGGGGGGCCCAGTGATGCCAGATCCTTCTGTGTTTTAAGAAGCCAGAAGTCCAGATTTGGATATAAAATCTCCCAGTGTGTAAACGGGGTTCTGAAAACAAATGGCCCACAAACGTGGTGTGAGCGAAGCAAAACGCATCTGTGAGCCCCTGGGCTCCTGCCGACCAGCTCTGGACCCTGACTCACACAGCAACCTGGTGCTCGTGGGGAAAGCTTTAGTGGGCATTCTGTCCGAGAGAAGGGCTGTGTACAAAGTGTACTCAAGGTTCATTTCTCCTCTGGCTCCCTCCCAAAAAGGTCAGAGGATTCAAATCAAATTCAGATTTGTAGGCAAAAAGAAAACTATTGGCCATGGAAGCCAAGAGATCCTCACTAACTGTCTTGTTTTTCCACATCTAGACGTAGAGGCCTGTAGAGGAGAAGAGGCTTGTCCAAGGTCACAAAGCCATGTGGGCAGAGCTTGGACCCAGACTTGGGGTTCTGACTCCCAGCCCAGTGCTCCCTCTATCAGGGGGCCTAAAATAGAAGGCTGACCTTTTTGTGGTATTTCTGTGCTTGACACATGCCAGAGAGTTACTCATGAGTTCATCTTCCCAGAATAACTGGCAGAACAGGGCCAGAGGGCAGCAGGAAGACCCCGGGCTGCCCCTGTGAAATCCACGCTCCTAGAAAGCAGGGGATGGGGCTCACCGTCGGTGCGGGCCTGCCTGCTTCAGGAGCACCCGCCGGGCCCCAGCTTTGGGGAGGCTCTTACTGGGCCCAGGGGTGAGGGCTCTGGAGGCCAGAACGGATCCTAGGGGTGTGTTAGGGACCCGGGAGCTTGAGCCTGTCCAGCTCGTGCCCCAGCTCATGCCCCCGGTACAAAATAATAATCATCGTAGGAATATTGAAAAAATTCAGACAAGCCCGAAAACTCATGCAATAAAACCACCTGGTTCTCCCATGACTTTAGCTTGGATCCCTGCACTCTGCTCTGCTCCACACAAGGAGGGAGGCAGAGCCTGATTTTTTTTTCTTTCTTTTTTTCCTTCCTTCCTTCCTTCCTTCCTTCTTTCCTTCCTTCCTTCCTTCCTTCCTTCCTTCCTTCCTTCCTTCCTTCCTTCCTTCCTTCCTTCCTTCCTTCCTTCCTTCCTTCCTTCCTTCCTTCCTTCTTTCCTTCCTTTTTTTACGACAACAGGAGCATGTGGGACATGCTTTTTCTAATCTTTTTTCGCTTACTGCCTTGAGCGTTTTCCTCCGCACTTAATCTTCTCTCTCACCAGCATTTTTAACCCCAGCAGAGGATTTCACCACCTAGATGTATTTGAATTCCTTTGGCCTTTCGCGACCGCTGGGCGTGTCGGCCTTCCAGCTCCCCGGTACATACACATACCAGTGCTTTTGAACATCGGTATCGTTCGCTCTGGGAATCCGTCCACAGTGCCTTCCACAGCGTAAAGTTCTAGACGTGGACTCAGATGATGTGAAAATCGTATGGCCTTTGATACACATTTCACGGGCTGTTTTTGACACATACTCGGGGAGAGCCAAGAATTTTATCTGCTGGAGACCTCAGGGAGGCCTCTTTGTGGCCTTGTCCCACGATCTCTGGCTCGTCTGTGTTTGCAAATACTTGGCAGTCCATGTGTGTTTGACTCGTGCCCAGAAAGCCCCTTGGCACCTCCACCAAAGCTAGTTCATCAGGAACTGCCTGGCCGCGATGAAGCAAGAGCCGGTGGACAGGCACGCTGGCCACAGGCATTTCTAAGTTCTTTCCAGAGCCCTCCTGGCCCTCTTACTTGTCAGACCGGCTCTCACAGTGGTTGCCACCTCAATTTGGGAAGGAGCCCCTTGAAATGACAGGAAGAGTCTGGACACCTGTAAAAAAAAAAAAAAAAAGAAAACATCACTGAGCTGAGCCTCTCTGGGTCCCCAGTGCCGTGGGGGAGGGGAGAGGAGTACAAAAGCGGGGGCAAAGAAGGGGGAAGGTTCTAGCAGCAGCCAGCAAGGGGAGGATGTGCTCGTTTGTCTCTGCTCAGCTAGGCCCTGCGAACAGGTGGTATCGGAAATTGGTGATTTTTTTTTTTTCTGTTTATTTTTCAGCACAAACAAAAGGTATGTGGCTTGACCCTCATCCATTCCCAAAATGAAGGCACTGTAGCCTCTCAGCCTCTCATCTACTGCACATGCCCGGCCCCAGAGGTCTTAGAGCAATAAACTGGGGCTCTAAAGAGCCTGACAGAGAAGGGGGTGACAGCTATACCATCCGTCTGTCCTGGCTAGGGCGTTGTCGGAGACATAAAAGGCTTAGTCCCAACCCTCTTACCACACTCGGCGGCCCCTGTGTTCATTGCTCTGATAAATAAGCAGCTCGGGGAAAAGCCATCTTGACATTTTGATTTGTTAAGGCGTGATTCATTTTCAAGTCAAGTTAACAGCTTGTAAACTTGGGGGTTTACCACTTGAAGTGATTGAGAAGTAAGCAGCCATAAAGCCAGGGCCGTGGGGCTGCTGCTGATCGCCCCCTGGGAACCTTCCCGACTGGCGTTCAGATTTGCCTCGGTGTTTGCCGTAGCCAATCTGAGCCTCCCCCTTCCGCCACAGATACACACAGTATATCACATAACACCTCTTCTTGGGAACTCCAGCACGCCAGTCCTGCTCTTCTCCCTGCAAGCAAACGGTCCGCAGTAGCTGGGGAAGGGGAGTACTGCCCTCCACAAAAGAGAAGCTGGTGAATTTACCCACCACACTCCCACAAGGCCTCACATTGCAAAACCTGGAGGGCTTGGCGTGGGGTATAAATAAAGACCCCACTTGCCCGAGGGGAGCGGGGATGAGGGAGGTACAGGCCTCCAGTTAAGGAATGAGGAAGTCACAGGAATAGAAAACGGAGCATAAAGAATATAGTCAGTAATATTGTAATAGTGTTGTAATGGGACAGATGGGAGCTATGCTAGGGAACACAGCACAATGTATAAACTTGACAAATCACTAAGTGGGACACCTTAAATTAATGTCACATTGCGCGTCAACCCTACTAAAAAAAATTAATAATAATAAAAAAATAAAGAGAATACAACAATAAAGACCTGGCTTTTAAGGAGCTAATCCTTAGACAAAAATAACTTCACACAAACATTAATACAAAATAGCCCTTCCGCAGTGGCCAGGTACGGGACCCCACTAGTCCTAACGTTGGGCGGGGGGGGAATGAAGCAGCAGGTCCCCACCCCAGCCAGGCCTGTGTTTGCCCACCAGTCGGTAAAGGGAAAGGGGCTCAGGACAGTGCAGGGACTTGCCCCCTGGTCTGGTGAGTGAGCAGACTAGGGATAGAACCCAAGCTTTCCTGGTGCCAGAGCCCAGGCTCAGTGTGCTTGCTTCGGTCGAGGGCCAGAGAGTAAAATATTTCAGGCTTCGCGGGCCGTGCGGCAACTGCTCAGTGCTCGAAACAGCCACTGACTCTGTATGCAAGCAAAGGGCCATGGCTGTGTTCCAGTCAAACTTCATTTACAAAACACTGGGCCATAGTTTGCTGACCACCGCCCACCACCCTGCCGCCTTCCTGAGTTCTGCAAAAAGCAAGGTCAGAGCCTAGGAAACCTTCTGGAAGAAGTGTCCATGGGAGCTGGACTGTGTGAAGTTCAGCCAGTGCAGGTGGCTTGAATGAGGTTTGGGGCTGGCTGGGGTGAGTGTGCTCAGGGAGTGGAGAGGTTTGATGTGATTGGCTGGGAGGGTTGGGATCCCCACTCTCAGCTAGGAGGACATGCCCCCCCCCAATCCCCACTCCAGTTTGGTGCCACTTCAGAATTACAGGGCAAAAGCATCAGGCTCCACAGAGCACCTTGACCATGGTCCTGCTCAGCTCGTGGGGGCTGATGGCAGAAGCCACCATGGTCCGCATAGCCCCCTGGGATCATCAACAAGGCTTTTGCTCCATGGGAGCTTCCTGCATTTAGTGAATAAAGTCAGAAGCTATGGCCCTTTAGGAAAGCAGGCTGTAGAAAGGACAGAAAGCCATGGTCTGCAGGAAAGGGGCTCCCAGATGGGCTCATTCAGACAGGCCCCCTTTCATCATAAAGAGCACTCCGCTCTCCCTGTGTGCCAAGCCCTGTGTCCCACTGTACCCCCAGTACAGTGCAGTGACAAGAACCTAGTGACGACCCTCCCAGCTAGCAGGGGGTGGTGCTAGGCACGCGTTCTGGTGTTTCTGCATGGGAAGCAGAGCTTGACCAAGTCCGAGCGTCTCCAGAGCGTGGGGCTCCCCCACTCCCTGGTGCGGGAAGGCCACGGGCCTTGCAAATGCGCGGTCCCCATCTCTGAACCCAGAATTGCTCCAAGGGCTGTGTGGAACTCTGCAATTGGGAGCTCTTCACCAGAGCTGAGCAAAATCTGTGGCAGGGAGAGTCTCGGGGGCGCCTCCCCTCCCGCCCAGTGCCCTGCCTTTGACAACTCGGGCACGTTAGTGAAGGCCCTGAGATTTGCTGTGAGGCTGTCCCGAGTCCCACCAAGATGCCTCTGAAGCCCCCAGGCTGCGTGTCCCCTTCAAAGCCACAACCAGCCCATCACTGAGCCAGCGTCAGGCACTCTGATTAATGGCTCACGGCCTCGGCTCTATGGCCGGCTGCACCCTCTTCCTTGAAACGGCTTTGAAGTGTGTCCAGGTCAGGCCCATGGCCAGAGAGGTCAGCTGGGGACTCTTCAAGGGGCTGGGTTGGGTTGGGGGGTGTAGCCTTTAGGTTAAGGTCCCCCAGCACCCCCCTTTGAGGTGTGGCTTGCCTGTGGCATCTCCCACGAAATCAGGGAGTGTGGCACCCCCTCCTCCTAGGCCAGCTTGTTTCTTCCTGCTTGGTCACCTCACCACTTATCTTGCAGGCTTTGCCGTGGCCCAGTGCATAAACCAGCACAGCTTGCCATCCCTGTCCTCACCATCTGCCGGCGGGAGCCCCAGCGGCAGTGGGAGCACCAGCCACTGTGACTCTGGAGGCGCCAGCTCATCATCCACCCCTTCTGCCACCCAGAGCCCGTCAGGTATTGGCCGCGTGACATGGTGCGGGCGGGGGGGGGAGTGGCGGGGGAGGGCGGCGACTTCGGGGAGCTCTGTCATCCCTCCGTGCCAAGACCGCTGACCCCCAGCTTGTCCTTGCCACCGTGTTTGGGGCCGCCGCCGCCTGGGGTTCTGCGTTCCGTTCTGATGTGACGGCTGGTCTAGCTCCCCGCAGGGGAGGAGTCACTCCTTTTGCAGGCTGGCCCCCCGCCGAGAAAGACCTTCCCTGACCGCAGGGCTGGAGGGGATGGACGGCTGCCGAGCCTGCATCTGCCCCATTATCACCTCCACAAGGAGGGCTCTCCCAGACTGGAGTGTGTGAACCTGGCAGAAGCATTGTGTCCATGCTAATTTGTTCTTTCCTTCATAACATACCAGTTTTCTCTGTAAATGTGTGCAGTCCAGTCGTCTGTGGCCAGGGGTACACCCTTTGGGAATCTTTCGGGATGTGCTGGAGTCCTGTCTCGCCTTCCTGGGCCTCAGACAAGGGCAGGCGTTGCACAGGCAGACGCCATGGGCAGGGGGGCTACAGTGAGATGAGTGGGCACCCCCTGTGTTCTCAGCCACCATGAGCCCCTCACACGTGGGTGCCTCACTGTGCCCGGTGAGATCCCAGGGGCAAAGCACCAGGCTTTTTTCCTGAACCCCTTGGCTGCACAATGCAGCCAGATGGAGCAGGGCCCAAGCAGGGATGCTGGAGAGGAGCTTGGGGGTGCATGAAGCTTCACGCCCCAGCAGCACAACCCCATGGGTCTGTTCTGATTTGGGAGGCCCCCTCATCTGGGGACCCTTGGTGTCCTTCGCTGTTCCTTCGAGGTCCCACCCAGAGCTCTTACCTATCCTATCTCAGGGCACCTGACCCAACTCTTGTCAGGCGGTGGATCGGGGGGTCATGATAAAAGCCACATGCCAGAAAACTAAGGGCCCCCAGCTCCCGTTCCCTCAGCACTGGAGCCCACGATCTCCTTCGATGCAAGGACCTCTCCGGGATTGTCAGCTCCCACATTCCCCAGCGAAGGGTTAACCCTGCCTGGTCTCGCCTGCTGCCTGCAGCCCCTTCCTCCCGCCAGCATCCATTACCTCCAGCTACTATTGACATTCCCGAGGCCCAGGCAGCAGGGTCACCCTCACACCACCTCACTTAGACCTTCTTCCACTCAGCACCTGCTCCTCCCCCCGCCCCCTCCCCGCCCCAGCTTGGGGGAGGTGGCCGCCTTCTCTGAGCTGTTTCTGAGCCCGATCTGAGGTTGGCTGCAGGTATTGCTGCCGGTCCCAGGCCCACAGCGGGACATTCAGACGGCACTTTCTCCAGAAGCCAGGAAGAGCCCTCCACCTTCCTCTGCAGCCTGATCTCACGGTGGCTCTGGGGACCGAAGGGCAGGGTTGTGTGTTCATGGGCTTGTGTGTGCACCCACGTGCTGCCTGCATGTGCACGCTTCTGTGTCTGTGTCGTGTGCACCCAAACACACTTAGACTGACGATTGCATTTGGGGTGAAGCTCTCTTCCCAATGGAGCTGTGTACGCCTTTCTTTCATGTTTAAGAAGGCACAGACAACAGCTAAGCAAACAAACGAGCCGTGTACTTCTTTGCCTAAAACTGAAACCAGCCAAGACCCACAATCGTCAAAATCAGGTCTGTGTTTGCAGATGTTCACGTGAGCGCGGCCCCTGGGGCTTCGGCTCTGCACCTTCCCCCAGAGGCTCAGGGTCCCCAGGAGGCGAATTTCTTTTCTCTTGGCCTCCCTCAGCCCCTCTGTCCCTACCGCCACCATCCCCCGCACGGTGCCAGTGACCTGTGTTCTCATCTGAGAAATGCAGGGGCTGTCAGCCTGGCTGTCAGGTAGCCAGGCAGCACCAGTTGATAAGTGATGGTCAGGCTCTCCTGGGTGTCTGCCCCCGTTCCGTGCATCCCCAGCAGGCCTGTGGAGGCAAGTGTGTGAGGCCCCATTTTTTATGCTGCCTGACAGTAAAAGCTTGTGGCCCAGCCTGCCTGTCCGAGTTTCTGCAGACACTGAAGTAACTCACCCCCTGACAAAGGGCCAGCCTGTCAGGCAGCCTGCCCTTCACTCTCGACTGAGGACCCAGCTCCTGATCCCTGGAAAGAGAGAGCATCGGAACCCATGCGCTGCACCCTGTCACAGGGGCCCGGCGAGAGGAGTCACAGGCCGGGGGGGGCAGGTTTTGGGAGGGCCACCATTCACTTGGCCTCTCAATGGCCACCTTCCAGGCCGGGCTCCAGCCTCCTGGGTCCCATCCACAGCACAGCACAGGAGGTTTCCGTGTTCCTCGTAAGGGCAGGCCTCCCCAGCTGGTGCCGCCACGCGCCTACTGTCTCCCCTGGCTGTGCTGGACAGGAAGCGGAGGCTGCAAGGGAGGTGTTTTCAGGACGGGTGCTCTTCGGCCACTTTCCTGGGTTGATGTCGGCCCAGAGCAGTGGCCTGGTGTTCAGACTTCTAATGGGCAGAAGCTCCGCCCGTGGGGTCTGGCCGTAGTCGGCCGGAGGGGGCATCCTGTGGGGCCAGCTGGGCAGCAGGACGGGCTGGGGCAGCAGAAGACAGCTGCGGCCCAGTCAAGGGGCCACTTGTCCTCCCAAGTGGTTTTGGGGGACACAGTGCTGAATCAGAGGCATTCCCAGCCCTGTACTTCCAGAGTCTCCGAGTCCAGGAAGTTCCCCGTGGGGAGAGCCGCTGCCAGGCCCCTTGCGGCCAGAATTAGCTCCAGTGGCTTCTCTGCTCTCGAAGCCACACTTTGCACGGGCAGGTGTTTGGTTGGAAAAGCAGACAAGAGATGCCATCCATCAGGGGACGAGACAGGCCCAGCTTTCTGTGACTCTGCAGCTTTGAACCCCAGAATTATCCAAGGATATCCCAAGGAAAGCCAGGGGTGAGCCTTACACTATCCTAGCCGTAGATGGGGCAACGGGCACCCACTGCACACCCTTCTCCGTGCGCATGCGGTGCGTGCTGTGTACCTGTTCCATCGAGGCCCAACAGACGTACCTCCTAATCCCCCCGTGTGCCGGGTACTGTGCTCACAAACACTGGACAGACACCCCCTCACCGAGACTTGCCACCCTCCACCTCATGCTGGACGGTTGAAAACACGGGGGCTCAGAAGGATCACACGGCTTGGCCACGACAGTGCAACCAGGAAAACGAGGAGCCCACACACGGGTCCCAGCCTTAGTAATTCTAGAACCCATGGTCCGCCTTCTGAAATCACCCCACAGAATATCCCTGCAGTTCCTAAGTCTGTCTCCCGTGCCTCCGCGGGGCGCTGCAGAGCCTTGGACCTCAGGTTCAGATCTCCGTCGGGGGGCAGCCCACAGAGTACATGCATTTCTCCTTCCAGTGTGTGTGCTTGCTCCAGAAACCACACGAAAAGCCACAGCCCATGCACAGAGACCCTGGCAACTGTGCCGCCCCAGTCAACCAAGGCTGGGCCGTGTCGCCCCTGTGGGGGGAAGCCTGCTGGTCCCCCAAGTCAGCAACACAGTGGACCCCAGAGGGCCCCATCCATCTCCTCTGCCAGCCCAAATGGGGTCATCCCCAAATGAGGGCGTAAAACTTTTGATACTTGGTTGTTTCCCACCCCCCCACCCTCTGTCCAGCCCAGGGGACCTCAAGTTCTCTGCCTGGGTTTGCAAGAAGCCCTTTTTATCCCAAATACAGATTTTTCTCAGCTGCCCACGGGACCTTGAGTCGGAGTGATGCAGGTTTTGTGGATGTCAGACCTGATCTCACTAGGGTCCCTCCAAGGGTGGCCCTCACGTCCAGCCTCTCTCTGCATCTCATCTCTGCTGGCCTTGGGGCCCTATCTCCACTGCATTAATGTTTTCTAACCAAACAGGTTTTTGTTGAGTCCCCACTATGTGCAGGCACTGGGGATAGAAGGTGACAAAGGAACACACAGGCTAGCAGGGGAGGCCAGGGTCTACCAGATGACCGCACGCAAGTGTCCAGTTGAGAACTGTCCCTGAGAACTGCCCTTCCAGATACAGACCCCAAGGGGCGGCCTGTTTTTGAGGAATAGCGCATGTGCCCGTGGGGGCCTAAGCCCGTGGCCCAGCGCTGGCAGAGGGCCCCTCACCACAGCGGGAAGGGACCCGCCCAGAGGGTCACTGGTTTGCCCTCTGTGCTGGGAACACCTGCTTCTGAGTCTCCTCCACATGCCAGGGACAGAGTGTGGATGCCTGTGAGTGGCTTTTTTGCAAGTGCTGGACCTCAAATCAGGGCCAGGAGACACCGGGTTACCAGGTCACAACTGAATTCCCTGGTAACCAGAGAAACCAGCTAGAAGGAGTTGGGAGCAAGGGTATTTTATTTTCATGGTTACTTATTCACCTGATAAGGCTGTGCTGAGGGAATTATTGTCCAGTTGTAACAGCTGACGCGCAAGTTGACCTGTTCCCCATGTCCTTTATAGAAGGTGCAGTGAGACCCTCAAGCCTTCCTGGGGAGACCGGTGCCCTGGGCAGTCTCCTGGGACCTGGCATCTTGTCGCCCACTCGTCCAGTACAGCCGGCCTGATAGGCCTCAGCTTGCTCTTCACTGGGAAAATTATAGAGTTGGAATTAGCAGGGGTTTTTTTCCTTAAACACTTGATGGTTTTGAGAAGCAGAAATTGCAGAGAATGTATGGCGGGAAAGAGAAAATAGACCCAATTTGGAACCAAATGTAGGGCCGGTAGGAATACTTTAGAAAAACTTTCTGGGTTACAGCCCGTCACACGCACGTACACACAGGCAGATAGATGCACGCTCACACACACCCAGTGCACATGCTTGCAGCCGCACACCCTGCGTGAGGCTCAGATAAGAAACGGTCATTTGTTAAAAAATGAAGTCAGCGTGAAGTCCAGCCTGCTCTTTCCATCGTCCGTTTTTAGGGCCCATGGAATGAGCGCTTTGACCTTACCCCAAGGTTTTATAGGAAGAAGGAAGGGTCTGGCCCCTGGAAGCCCCGTGTTGAGGCCTGGCAGGGGCGGGGTCCTGCTCTCCCCATCCTCACCTGCCCCCTGGGCTGTCTGAACACATCACCTTATCCCCAGTGCTCGGTCCCTTTCGGGCCCAGTGGGAGCCAGACAGCCCAAGACTGACCCACATGTCACTGAACTCGCTTACCAGTCAGGCAGGACTTGAAGGACAGAAACCCCGAGCAAGGCATGTTCTTTTCTCCCCAGTTTTCTCCATGGCATTAAATTTTTTTTTTATCGTGGTGAAATACACATACCACACGATGCACCATCGTAACGACTTTTAAGCACATAGCCCTGTGCCGCATTAGGTTATATTCACGTTGTGTTCTGTTGCATTAATTTTCACCTTGGCTCGAACCTCAAGGTTGTGTCCAAGAGTATGGTTCCTTCCTTCCCAGGGAGATGCTCCTAACATTTTTGTTTCAGCTGATTGGAAGCCCCCCACCTTGGCCGCTTGGCACCTGGTCTCAGGCCTTCCTGCTGTGGCTTGGCCTTGGTCTCCAAAGGGGCAGAGCTGCCGAGTGTCTTCTGGAGTGTGGCTGGGGAGGGGTCCAGGGCTTGCCCAGAGCTCCCCGAGCTGTGCTGTTGGCTTTAGTGTGGTGACATCAGGAAGCTCGGGGCCTCATCAGTCGGGGGGTGGAAATCTGCTTGTTGCTCTAGCCCGCTGGGCTCCCGTCCCCCAGCCACACGGCCTTCCCTCCTCAGATGGTCCCAGGGAAGCAGGGCCCTCGTGCTCACTGCTGGTTCGTGTGTGGATCTGCCCGGCGGCTCTGTCCCTCTGTCCCTGGACGTTTCTCGCCGACGGACACCACGCATGGCCGACCACTCCCAGTCTTTCCTTTCCAACAGGACTGAGCCTTTGCCGTCTTGTCCCTCGAGTGAGCCCCACGAGTGGGCACACGGTTGGGCCCCTCACCGTGGTGACGGCGCCCCGCTCCCCTGGAGCTCTCGTCCGGGCCGGGCATCCGTCACGGCTCCGCGCCCCTCTCCGGGCCCCCTTTCTCTGTCGCGCGGTTGAAGGCTTTCTCTGACCTGTCGCTGTGTTTGCCTCTAGTCAGGAATGGCAGGAAAGGACGCCGGCGAGTGTTCAGCCTGTCGGAGGCCGACAGTCACGGCGGCCACTGGGTTTAGTGCTTCCAACGGCAGCTGGCACGGCACCTCCCGCAGGCGACTCAGGCAGGTCTCGTCCGCTAGCCTGTGCGGCCCACACGCCCCGCCGCCGCCTTCCCGGGCCTCGGGGGACCTCGCGGGGCCTCGGGGGACCAGGGCTGTGCCACCCCCTCCAAGCGGCCATCTCCCCAGCTTCCGCGAAGCCTGTTCTTCCGTTCCCCTGCAGCCTCACCTGGGCTGGGGCCCGCATCCCCTGCCCTCGAGCCTCGGGCAGCCTGGAAGCGCCGTCCTTCTCCGTGGACCACCCAGTGCAGGGCAGGGGGGGGGCGGTTCTCCAGCCCAGTCCGTGCGGGATGGGGGGGGCCCTGCATTAGGCCACGAGGGTTGAGCAGCAGATTTTGCGAAAAGCAACCGAGAAGTCAGCTAGGTTCTCTTTTTCTTTTCTTCCCCGTCCCCCCCGTCTCTCCCCCGACCCTGCTCAAAGCTCAGTGTTAGATTCAGTCCCGCCTCAGCCAGACCAGAGCCGTTTACCCCACAGGTACGGGCGGGGCGACTCCATCATCCCCCGTACTTAGATGCAGTGCTCCAGGGGGCCACAGACGCGGGCTCCCTGCGCAGGGCCCCTAGCTGCTGCCTGCCCCTCACCTCCCCCGCCACCTTCCCCACCTTCCCTTTAGGGTTTCCCATGCCGGCCTCCCACTGGCCAGTCGGGAGCCTTTTGCCTTCTTTTGCATTTAAAAGCTGCTTCCTCTGAGCTCTGCCCTCTGCCCTGCTATGCTCTGCTGCGCCCCCCTCCCGCCACCACACACACACACACACACACGCACTCTCTCTCTCTCTCTCTCTCTCTCTCAGTCCCACTCTCCCAGCCTGAGCACAACAGCCCCAAAGTTTTCCTGGAAACCATCACTCCGCAAGGGCCAGCCAAGCCCCTGCCCCAAAGCCGGAGATCAGCTTCTGGAGGGTGCTGGCCAGGGATGTGGGGACCCACTGCCTCGGTGTCAGCTACAGGCAGAGCCTCGGGAGACCAAGCGTCTCTCACAGAACCCTGGACATCCAGGACTTCCCGCTCAGGCCTCCACTCTTCTCCCTGGCTCCTGGCCAGGAAACCAGAATGTTCTCCAAATCTTTCATGTTCGAGGCCAGGCCCCTATCTGTGGCCTTCGAGCCGAAAACACCAGCAGACAGGCAAAACCAAGGGCTCAGCCCTGGACCAGAACATGTGTCTTCGTTGGGTAATTTTCCCGTGGTGAAAAAGATCTCCTTTTTTGTTCCCCTTGGAATGGATACGTTTGTAGCTCACATTCAGGAAGCAATTCTTAGTTTAAAAAAAGAAGTAAGGGTTGTGGGTGACGGGTGAGAAGTTATTTTTATCCAATAAAAAATGGAAAAAGGCTATTTTTAAGGGGAAAAAAAACCCAACCCTTTTAATAAAAATTGTTGGTTCTTAAAGAAGACACCAATTTTGTGTGTAATATTGTCTGTTGGGTTGCTGGTTTTTAAATATATTTGATGGCAAATTTCCCATATCCTTGATTATGCTTATCACCAAAAACCCCATTAGGGATCAGGGAAAGAGATTTGCCAGCCTTTTTGAATATCTGCATGCAAATAAGCCAAGCGGGAACTCTTACAAGAAGTTTCAAGAGAACATAAAGGTAATGCTTGGCAGTTCTGTCTCCAGATGGCACAAAAGTGCCATTTGGAGAATTAGTCATTTCGGAACTGCCTTGTCAGCAGCTGAGCTTACATGTTGGATCCGTAGGTATGCAGGCCCGTAGCCATGCCCACCCTCCCCGGAAGCCAGGTGGAAGAAGCCAGAGCAGGTGAGCCTGCACAGAGTCCCACACGCTCTGATGAGCAGCAGGTAGATCGTGCGGGGCCAGAACGTGAGCCTGTGCATGCAAGGGTGTCCTCGCTGAATGGAGCGAACTCAGTGAGATTCAGAGAAACCAGAATGCGCGTGGAGTGTTTATTCAGCGTTTCTGGGCTCAGCTCACACCCTGAATCACATTTTCCGCTAGTGCTCACCGCCACCCCACCCCTGGAGCGAGGGCAGACCCAAAGCCCTGTGCAGTGGTTTTCTCTGGGCCTTATTTCTCTTTAAAAATAGGTATATACATAATAACAATAAAAGGAAGGAAAACAAAAGGCCTTAGGAAGGGATTATATGGAATCTTTGAAAGCTTGTCTTGCCCAGGAGCCTTGGGGGAAGAAACGCCGTCGTATTCTCTGGGAAGCCCAATCTGTTGCTTGTGCTTTCTCTCCATGGTGGGGATCCTCTTCTCCTGCATCCCATTCTTTATGCCCTTCGGTTTTCTTTTGCTTTTGGTTTTTCCGTTCTCTTGCTGTATGTTCAGTTTGCAGTTCTGTTTTGTTTTGGCTTAACTTTAAAAACAAAAAAAGAACCTAACTTGAATCACATCGAAGAAAACATGTCTACCATCCTTCCCAGGGTCCAGAGTGCTTTCCGACTCATGGCTCAACACCTTGTCATCAGCACCTTCTGCTGATGCCTGGTCAACCCCAAAATCTGTACAAATAAGGTATTTGCTTTCCAATAGAGCTGCCCTTGGCCTTCTTGTCGATGCTTTCAGATTACCGGCGCTTAAAGCCCGGAGGATGTTTTCCACGGTGAGCACCAGTCTCCGCTGCTGTTCCTGTCCAGGCAAACTTGTCATGGGAAAGCAGATAGGCCATTTGTCTGTAATCTAATCAAGGATTTTGAAAAGCACCAAAAAAAGAAATTGCCACTTCAAAAATACACTGCCCTGGGCGGAGCGTCCCCTGCCCTCCCGCTACCGTGGTTTCTCTCCATGACCCCCGTAGGGACACTCAGGATCCAAATGGCCCCTGTCTGGGTGCTAACTGAGCTCACAGGGAAGGAGCAGGAGAGACAAACCACAGTCTGAGGTTTTGTTTTGGTTTGGCAAGCTGAAAAGTTCCATAGAATTCCTTTTTGTTGTCGTTTTGTTTTGTTTTGTTTTTTAATATCACAGTGAGTTCCCCCTTGGGTAAATGTACCAAATGTAGGCTCTGGAAATGGCCTGAAGTGATAAGCACACCCAAGCCCATTTCCTCCCTAAACACATATTTACTCATTGGGCAGGTGGTCCAAGACTCTCCCTTAACAAGGAGACCACCCGGGCCACTTCCTGGCACCATACTCTGCCCATTGATTCTGCACAAGCCCCTAATTGTTCTCTCATATCACAGGTCAGGGTAACCCTGGGCCCTGACAGATTTCTCCCCAGGCCTAGGGAAGACTGGATTTACCAGCTCATGTGTCCCCAGAAGGAGGAAGTGGAGACAAGCTGTCCCCCCCCCAGAACCACCATCTCCCACCCAGATATCCCTGGGCCTCTGTGCAGGACGGGAACAGAGTATCCCGGGGCTAAGTGTACCCTTGTTCTTTCTCCCCCCGCCCAGATGACCCCGTGACTATGGAACAGCCTCAGCCTCATCTTCCCAGCCAGTTGGTGATCATCAGTGACATGGACGCAGAGGCCAGGCCCAGCAAGAGCCTGGCAAGGAGCGCAGACACGGAAACAGTCAACCTGTCCCCCAGCCTCATCCCCGCCCAGCAGCCCACCATCTCCCTGCTCTGTGAGGACACTGCCGACACGCTGAGCGTGGAGTCGCTGACCCTCATCCCCCCCGTCGACCCCCATAGCCTCCGCACCCTCACCGGCATCCCCGCGCAGCTAGGCGAGGAGGCCGCACACCCGGAGCCAACGGGCCCCGCCGAGCAGTGAGCGGGCGCCGTGTAGCCTCCCTTTGTGTGTGGGGGCCTGCTGGCAGGGACCCAGTACAGCTGACTCAGAGACACGTCGGGAGCACCCACAGTCCCCGCGGCCCCAGGAACCACGGCTGCTATCTCTTCTCGCGCTCCTTCACTTCGTTTGAATTCCCCGTTTCACTTTGCACCTCTTGGAGAGCAGGCTGGACCTGGGGGAGACACCCCAGTGAGCCCAGATGACCAGGCAGCTGCCTCGGGGAGGAGGGCGGCCTCCTGGTCTCTGAGCCTGACGACCCTGGGGTCGCAGGACCCCCGCCCCCTCTCTTCATCAGCCAGCCACCCCGGTCTGGGAGCTCCTCGGCCACCACGCCCAGTGTGCCCGGAACAACTGGACCAAGTCACTTTGGGTAGAAATTTGTAGAGAAACAAACTTCGATAAGCATCTCCTTTGGATATTTATTTCCGCTTTTGGCAGCAGATAAAAAGCATTTATTTAAAAAGCAGCTATTTAAAAAAAATAATAAGTCCAAAAAAAGAATCCTCAGCTCTTACGGTTTGATGTCATGTTAAAAGTATAATATTACTGTTAAGATTTCATTTTCATTTTCCCTCAAACTTCCCAGCGTTGTGTTCTAAAGCTCTCGGTCTGGCTTTCCCTGTTTCCTTCTCTACCACTCGCTAACTGTGCGAGCCTGTGAAATGATAAGTACCTTCCTGGAAAGTTTGGCTTATTTTTTAAACAAAGATAAGGGAGATACATGTATTCTCAGGTACACCCAGAGCTGAGAGGGCCAAAAGTTTCTCTGTCGCGGTAGCCAAGTCACCTTGCCTTGTTTCCTGAAAAAATCTTCCCAGGAAAGGGGCCGATGCAGCCAGCTCCCCACTCAGGACCCATCCTTCATCTCTCTGGACTGAAACCAGTCAGGACGGCTTCGCAGCATCACCTTCAGTTCTTACCACCTCTCTTCGTCTAGAGAGAACCATCTGGGACCGCGCAGACCCCGGCCCCGTGGCCGTGATGGAAAGAGGAGGCCCCAGAGGCCGTCTTCCATGTGGCCTGCGCCCGTCTACGTGTGTGCAGAGGCTGCAATGCAGGGCGATGCCCAAGGGCCAGGTCCCGCCCGCCACAGGGACACGTCCCGTCTCGACCAGTTGTCCTGGGAGCTCAGGTGTGCCGCTCTCCCTCTCGGCTGCCGCTGCCGACACAAGCTGATTTTTCAAATGGAAACTCCCCAGTTGCTTCTCCATTTGAGCCAGGCGCGCGCGGGCCGGTTCTCCGACGTATCTCATCGTGCACCTGCGCCGTTCCTGTCTGCGTAGCCAGGCCCAGCCCGGTGACCTTTGCCTCTCCCGGGTCAGCGCCAAGACCTTCCACACTTTCCTCCTCGTGTGCCCGCCCACAGTGCCAGCACACCCGGGCCCGGGGACCGTTGGCCTGTTCAAGGACCACAGGCCTCATGGCCTCCCTCACCCTGCGGTGGCAGCAGAACCCGCCAAGGAGGACCGTGGCGCCCGTGGGGACGGGGCTCTCCACCAGCAGAAGTCCTCTGAGTAGCTGTGCCCGCCCCGCTTCAATGGGGAAGAGACCCAGCCCTGAGAAGGAGGTGTGCCGGCAGAAATTCCAGGGGCCTTGGCAGGAGGGATGAGCCGTGACCATCCGCAGAGCCCCACAGCAAGGAGAGGCAGGTGGGATGGAAGAAGGGGTCAGGCGGTCCCTGACGAGAAAGGGCATGTCATCAGCCACAGAGGCCTGCAGCCGGCCACCCATCCTATCGGATCCTTTGCTTGGATAGAAGAGCAGGCTGGCGCTCTGGTTTTGCAGGGACTCTGGGGCAGCAGAAATGACGGAAGGCAAGTAACTTCCCAGCCCAGTGGCATTATTGTAAAGAACAGGCCCCCCTCCAGGACCACCGGCCTGCCCTCTGAAATCCAGTGGCTCCCAGCGGCTCCACAGCCACCGAGCACTGAAGGAGTTGGGGACAGCATGGTGGGAGGTCCTGCGGCACCATTGCCGAGACCCGGAGGGTGGAGTTGAACGAAATGTGCCACCTGCCAAGGGCAGGCATGCCCCAGAGGTGGGCTTGCAGCGTAGGTCCTGCGGCTTGCCCCAGCAGGACGCCTTGGGGCGTGGGGTGGGGACTTCCTTAACCAGGGGCTCCCTGTCACCTTGCGTGCGGGTGAGGAGGATTCATGCGTCCTTGTATGAGGAGGTCTGGGGTCTACAGGAGGCAGGCAGCCATCTTGGCTCTGATGAAGGACCTGCCTTGCTAGGTCTTGACCATCATGGTGGCCGCAGGCACACTGTGTCTTTGGGAGCACCCCGCAAACCTAACAGCAGGGGCTCGCCGAGGCAGGCCAGCCCAGACAGGGTGTGCCGGGACTCTGGGGCCGGGCAGAGAGAGGTAGAGCTGTGAGTCCTTGCAGAGCAGGACTGGGGACCGTGCCCTCCTGGACTCAGATTTCTGGGGCCAAGCTCGGCGAGCCCACGCGGCCTACCATCTGTCTCCACGTCCCACCCTCTTCAAGTCCATTGGGCCCGTTGGGTTTGCGAAGTCAGGGGCAGGGTTGGCCACATGAACCCTCAGACCTCAGCTTTGAACGTTGTGTGGAGAAGCCTATGTCCTTACAGTGTAGGGGCTCGCGCGAGCGAGGGCACCTCTCGCTGAAGGTCAGATGGGGTGAGGCCAGGAGCTCTCCAGCACCAGCCCCAAAGCCCCAGCAAGGATGTGGGGCAGAGACGCCATCCCAGGGAGGGGCAGGAGGAGGGCGTCCACCACTGCAGGCCTTCCCTTCTCCCTTTCCCTCCGCCCAGCCTGTCTGTTCCCTGCTCTCTGCAGAAGGCAGCTCCCCCCAGCCCCAGTCCCTGCATTAGCAACCCCCCTCCACCCGGCGGGAGTGAAGAGACCTACCTCGTTAAAGACATACACTAGATTTCTCTAAGGTCTCACGATGCACTGTTAGAAATAAAGGCACGGCGTGAACGGATTCTCATCTTTTTCTCTAGACGCAATAAATAAGAAATACTTAATGTAGTCATGTTGACATTGGGCATAAACTATCAGGGTTCCTTATGTTCATTCCCCCTGAGGTGAAAATAGGTAAATAATTCTTGTCCCAAGGAGGAGCAGGGGTTAGGAAGCGCTCACGCTTCTGGGCTAAGGGACCATTCCAGGGAAGTACCTGCTCTCGCCAGCGTGACTCATGTTCTGTGGGCACTGAACACGAGGGTGGAAATGAAAACTGGAACTTCCTGGTAAATTTGAACTTGGCAATAAAAGAGAGAAAGTTACCAGGAATGTGGGTGCTGCTCCATGGCACTGTGGTAGGGAGGCCGTGGCCCGGCGACGGGAAGGTTCTCTGCAGCCTCACCCCATGGCCCGTTGCGGCGGCAGGGCCTCTACCTGCGCCCACCGCAGGCCAGGTATCCACCAGCTCCTGGGAGGGGCCGGGGCTGGGCTGGGAGAGCCCAGGGGCAGCTGGCTGCGCTCAGAAGGTGCCCCATGCCCACCGAGGTGCAGGGGGCTCTCCATCCAAGCCTCAGGTTCTGCACCTGCGGATTGGGGCCTGGCACAGGAGGGCCGGGGACAGGGAACCTCGGCATCATTGCTCACACGTGCCGCTGGGCCAGGGGAAGTGGGAAGGGCTCGCCACCGGGGACAGAGTCCGGTGAAGTCTGTCCTGGGCAGGCACTGTTCTAGAACACATTGACAAGCACCTGCGTGAGCTCCGGAAATCCCTGGAAATGGGTTCACAGGTTCTCCAGCTTAAACCTGGCCCAGAAACAGGTAGGACCTTCTGGGCCTTGAGGTAAAACCCGAACTGAGTCCAGAACATAAACGGGATGCTGGCCTCGTGCCAGGAGTTGCGTTTATGGCAGAAGGTGGAGGCTGCTGCGGAGGGTGGGGCTCAGTTCCTCGGAAGTCTGCCCACAAGGCATGGGGTGCTGCCTCACCCATCCCCAGAGTAGCCCTGCTTTGCGGGCACGTGGGCATGCACGGGTTTCGTTGACTTCACTTTAGAAAAAGGAACTTGCTGGAAGGATCCTCCGGAGAAGGGGGAAGACAGGCCTCACAGGGGGCAGAACTGGGGACAATGGGTGTTGGGGGCTCCCTCCAGAGGGGGTTCTGGGCCAGCCAAGGGCCAGGTCCCTGGGTTGTGGAGGCAGGAACCGGGAGTGAGGGGCGAAGGGCAGGGGCCGGCAACACAGATGAGGAAACGGAGGCCCCGTGGGGCTCAGCAACCTTCCCAAGGGCCCTAGAGTGCAAGTCCAGGCCTGTGTGCTTCGTGCTGCCCACGCCATCTGAGACCTTGGCTGCTGGGCCAAGTGTCCTTGGGCTGTTTACAGGAAGAAGGAGGTGAAGCCGTAGTTCTCAGGTGAACGGGTGCTGGAACCATCTGGAACGCTTGTCCACAATCACAGCCATCCCCTTCCCCAGAGCCAGTCCCCAAGACCCTGAGATGTGGTCTGGCTGAAGGCCCTCTGCGCGGTGCATGTGACCCCAGAGGGGTGGCTCTTTCCTCTTCTGCCTCCCGGCTCTTCGAGAAATGTCGGTTTCTCTTCATGGGGCAGAATTTGGAGCCAGACTCTGGCACTCAGCAGCCTTGCGGCCATGGCCACGGCCAGGTCACCTGCCTGTGCTTGGGTCTCCACGTCTGCAAAGTAAGGACAGGACTGAGCCTGCCTTGAGGGTCGTGAGGCTGGAGGGAGTCACACAGGCAAAGGGCTCAGCTCAGGGCAGGGGGCTGGGGAGCTCTGAGCATGACACCCTCCGTGACGGCTTCCCCCGCCCCCTTCCCAGCCCAGGCTCAAACCTGGGAAAGGCCTTGGGCTTGCTTGGTGGCCTGGGACGAGTCACTTTGCTCTCCCAGTCCCTGGTTCCCGTCTGTAAGGCAGGCTGGGAAGCACCCACACCAGGTTCAGGGGCTTCACCCGGAGCACTGTGTGCCCTCACAGTGCAAGAAGGGGCCACCTAGTGCCTGGCAGGAGTCTGCCAGGAGCTGAGGCCTGCGGGGGTCTGCCCTGGTGCAGGTGCCTGGCCGGCCTGTCCCTGCATCTTCTGATGGCACCTGGAAGGTGGAGGAGCAGGTGAGGGTGGGCGGGCAGCATCCTGCCAGCGAATGACCTTGGGTCCCATGCTCAGGGAAGATGGCTTCCCGGCGACCGCCTGCTGGAAACCCCCTTCCCCTCCTGTCCCGACACCTCGTGGCCCTTGAGAGCGGTGGGAAAAAACCCTATCTGAAGCGCCTCTCTCCCAAGGAAGAGAGGTCTGAATCACCCAGACGGGAACACGTGGGGCTTCCCAGGAATTTACCCTAGGGTGCAAGAGGGGGGCAGCAGGAGGCCCCCCCTTGCCCTCCAGGCACCTCACCCACCCCAGAACCTGAGCGCTGTGGCCCTTAGCCCACCCTGCTCCTGGGCCCCACGCCACCT